GACATTGGGCGCCAGGATGTAGACGACCTACGAGAGCATTATGAGCAGACGCTGGAGACGACTCGGGCTCAGACGGAGCTGCGAACAAAGCGCTTGCTTGACACACATGCTCGAGTAGTAGAGGGCCTTGAAAAGGTTGGCAGACTGGGGGCAAATGATAAAGTATCGAAAGCAGATAAGCTTGGAAAAGATAAATAATGAGTAGTCTTCTTTGCAATGTAGCCAGTAAATTGTTAAAGATATTTTCTATAATTGTGATTAAGTGGGCTTCTCTACCCACCCCCACCTTGACACAAATTCGGGTAGTGCAACCCATAATCTCGACAAGTTACCACCATGCTGATATGTCTTTGGCATAGATGAAACTGCATCTCAGCCTGGATGAGAAGACCTTCGGGAAGCAAGGCTAAGTAAAATTTAATGAAAATATGAGGTCTACTCATGTAACTATGGTAAACTCTGCTATCAGTCCTTTTATCTTTTACGTGACCTAGGCTGAGTGAAAACTAATTTGATATTTTTACAAAGCTCTCCTTAAAGGACTCGTGTACTCGCTGAAGGAAGACAGGAATATTGTTGGGCGCATTTTATCAATATTATTTCTATTTGAATGACGTTTCTCGTGGCTGAAAATGTTGTTGCTTTTTGTCCTAAATCCCTCTGCAAAGGATGAAAGAGTAAGTAGCTTAGATTTTAACACTCCTATGCATTTTACATCGACAGAAAGAGTGTTCAGTCCAATGTGACTCACAAGGAAACTCGCCCTGCATGACTTATCAACATTCTTTGGTGCTGAATTGGCTCTCAACTCCAAAACACTTCAAATTGAAACTACACGTTATGGATAGACTTTCATTCCAGCCGTCATTTTACTTAACACTTAGCACCATTAACTTTTCATTTATACGGTCTTTCAGTAAATTTTATATTTCGCAGCCAAATATTTTATAAAATATACAATTTACTATGCATCCAAGGGTTTGGCTCATATCAATTCTGTGGGGCCCCGACACAAGACACTTTGTGAAGAAAAGTTGTCTCGGGGAATGTCCTGATCCTTAATTGTTGAGCTCAGTTTCATTTCCAGTAAAATTGTTTATTCAAGAGATTCCATCAGAATAAGTCCAATTATTATCTTGACCTTGTTATTTCGGCAACATGTTAATTAGGAATGAATTATACTTATATAACACACTCAAGGAGAGAGAAGCTGTTGATCTACCTAATAAAGTAAGCGATTTGAGTTATACTTACTGCCATTTTAGGTACATTTTGGTCCTCTCTTGCTCTCTCACATTAAGGCAAAAGGCCCATCAATTTAACCAGACATTTGTCTGATTATATAAGAGGGTGATGGTGGTCATCAAACCCCGAGTTCCGAGAATAAACGTTCCTTTTTCTGATGATATGACTTTCCATTTCGGAGGAGTCCTCGGCTTACTGTCCTGTGACTCCGATGAACCTGTACGAAGCTTTCGCCTCTACTATGACAAACATCATCAGAACAAAAATCCATACTTTATGAAATAGAGCAAAAATATATACTGTTTTAATTACTTTGATCCATCAATGTTGCTTTGGCATATATACTACATGTGAAGGCACATAAACACAGACAAG